TAATAATGACAAGGCTTCAAAGAAATTAAACACTACTACTACTACTACTACTAGGTGTAAAGAAGCAATAAAATAAGATGAAAGAAAGACTAATAATCAAAATGAATAATAATGACAATGCTTCATCTAAGAAATTCAAATAATAATGACAAATTAAGACTACTACTACTACTACTACTACTAGGTGTAAAGAAGCAAGAGAGAAATAAGATGAAAGAAAGACAAGTCAAAAATGAATAATAATGGCAAGGTTTCATCAAAGAAATTCAAACAAATTAACACTACTACTATTACTACTACTAGGTGTAAAGAAGCAAGAGAAATAAGATGAAAGAAAAGACTAGTCAAAATGAATAATAATGACAAGGCTTCATCTAAAGAAATTCAAACAAATTAACACTACTACTACTTACTACTACTACTAAAGTGATAAAGAAGCAAGAAAAATAAGATGAAAGAAAAGAAAAACACTACAAAATGAATAATAATGACAAAAGACTTCATCTAATAAATTCAAGGTTTCCCAAAATTAACCCAAATTACGTCTTTACTTACTACTACTAGGTGTAAAGAAGCAAGAGAAATAAGATGAAAGAAAGACTAGTCAAAAATGAATAATAATGACAATGCTTCATCTAAGAAATTCACCCAAATTAACACTATTACGTCTTATTACTACTAGGTGTAAAACAAGCAAGAGAAATAAGATGAAAGAAAGACATAAGATCAAAAATGAATAATAATGACAAGGCTTCATCTAAGAAATTCACCCAAATTAAGACTATTACTCTTATTACTACTAGGTGTAAAGAAGCAAGAAAATAAGATGAAAAAAAGACGAATCAAAAATGAATAATAATGACAAGGCTTCATCTAAGAAATTCACAATTTAAAAGTTGTAATTATTTTTCCCATTTCCTTTTATTTTTATCAAAATGAATTACTTTTTCTTTTCCTAAACACTCAAAAAATAGAAATAAGATGAAAGAAATTTCTCTTTTGAAAATTCTTTTGTCTCCAATGAATTTGTATCTCAAGAAATAAAACAAACGTTCATATTATTTTCCTGCTTACTACGTGTTAAACAAGCAATCTTTGTAAACTCTCGCGTGACTTTGCAGTTGTTAATTGTCGAACGTTCTTGTGCATTTAACTGATTTTAGTTGCTGAGCGAAATCTTTAAAAACGTCGTTCACTTGAACGTAAAGAGAAAAATAAGTCAAATTTACTTCCAAGTTCGACATCATTTCAAAGATAATGAAAGCCACCCATGAAAGACAAGAAGGTGAGAAAAAGAAAAGAAAAAACACGATGATGATATCTCCAAAGAGCGTAACATGTCCAAAACTTACGGCGGCAAAACAGTTTAACTCTTTCCGATGGCCATCTGCGATTGGTTGGTTGGTTGAGGTAATAAAATTAAAAACTGCGTGTTTAAACGACAAACTTAACCTTGACTGAAACAATAGCATCAACTTCCTTCAAAATAAAAGCAACGAAACAATAAATATCGTCTGTCAATTTCTCCCTATATTTTCTTCGCTTCTTTTTTCATGTGTTTCTTTTTGCTCCGTTTCTTTTCTCTTCGTTTCTTCTTTATTCGTTTCTTTTTTTCACCAGTTTCTTCTTTCTTCGTTTCTTTTTGCTTCGTTTCTTTTTGCTTCGTTTCTTTTTGCTTCGTTTCTTTTTTCACGTGTTTCTTTTTTTCTTCGTTTCTTTTTTCACGTGTTTCTTTTTTTCTTCGTTTCTTTTTCACGTGTTTCTTTTTTCACCAGTTTCTTCTTTCTTCGTTTCTTTTTTCTTCGTTTCTTTTTTCACGTGTTTCTTTTTTCTTCGTTTCTTCCTTTCTTTTTTCTTCCTTTCTTTTTTCTTCGTTTCTTTTTTCACGTGTTTCTTTTTTCACGCGTTTCTTTTTCCTTCGTTTCTTTTTCTTCGTTTCTTTTTTGTTCTTTCTTCGTTTCTTTTTTCACGTGTTTCTTTTTTTCTTAGTTTCTTTTTCCACGACTTTCTTCTTTCTTCGTTTCTTTTTCTTCGTTTCTTTTTTCACGGGTTTCTTTTTTCACGGGTTTCTATTTTCACCAGTTTCTTCTTTCATCGTTTCTTCTTTCTTCGTTTCTTTTTTCGCGTGTTTCTTTTTTCATGTGTTTCTTTTGTCACCAGTTTCTCCTTTCTTCGTTTCTTTTTTCGCGTGTTTCTTTTTTCATGTGTTTCTTTTGTCACCAGTTTCTTTTTTCTTCGTTTCTTTTTTTTATGTGTTTCTTTTGTCACCAGTTTCTTCTTTCTTCGTTTCTTTTTTCACGTGTTTCTTTTTTCTTCCTTTCTTTTTTCTTCCTTTCTTTTTTCTTCGTTGCTTTTTCCACGTATTTCTTTTTTCTTCGTTTCTGTTTTCACGTGTTTCTTTTTTCTTCGTTTCTTTTTTCATGTGTTTCTTTTCCTTCGTTTCTTTTTCCTTCATTTCTTTTTCTTCGTTTCTTTTTTGTTCTTTCTTCGTTTCTTTTTTCACGTGTTTCTTTTTTTCTTAGTTTCTTTTTCCACGACTTTCTTCTTTCTTCGTTTCTTTTTTCTTCATAGATTTTTACACGTATTTCTTTTTTCTTTGTTTCTCTTTTCTTCTTTTCTTTCTTTCTCGTGTTTCCTTAACATTGACTGAAACAAAAGCATCAACTTCGTTCAAAATAAAAGCAACAGAAAAAAACAGTAAATATCGTCTGTCAACGAAATGTTGACGCTTTTCTCTCCGTGAATGCGGTTTCAGTTTTTTTTTTTCTTTTTCCATCTTATTGTTAGTAATTTCTGTGGTAAGACTCCATTTTTTTTTTTTTTTTGCGTTGTACGCGTCCATACATATGACAGGCCGCCCCGCCAAAGATATGGGATATAAGTTCAAAATTGGGTGATTGCTTTGACAGGGTTCGATCGATAAATTGTCATCTAAATGACACACAAAAAAAGATGAAAGTAACACTGACATCTCATTTTAACAGATATAGTGACCAAAATTACATAAAAATATCTTGAAATTCTAAAAAATAAATTTACTTAAAAAAAAATAATCATGGTAATCTCAGCATCTTTCTATAGAACCACGTTTCTGTTGCTTCAAGTCGCTTCTTCATCTGTGAGGTGATTGTCCGTTAGGAAGGACTTTATAATTTAGATGATTCTTCCAGCGATTCCATAGCTAGAGAAAAAAAGTAGGGACCCTCCCTATATACGCCTTGTCAAAGGTCTTTGAATATCTAATGCGATCGTCTTTGATATGTATGTCTTGTTTAATTATAGCTTCAAAAAGTTGGCTAATGACAATGAGGAGGTCGATGGTCTATACCAGGGGTCGGCAACCTTTTACTAACTATGTGTCGACTTAGGGTTTTAAAATCATTCAGTGTGCCAACAGCTTACGTATTTTTTATACAAGTCAAGGTCAATTTTCCTTGTTCTAAAATATATTTTATATACAGAGCAACCTCGGTTCTTGAATGTTTCACATGTCGAACAAATCGGTTTTCGAACAAGTCAGGATCGATTACCTTGCATATATGTCTGTGGATTTTGTCGGGAACCTCCAGACGAACAGCGAGGGTACCAGACCATATCTGGCAACAGTATTCCATACATAGACGAATGGTAGATTTGTAAATAATTGCAAAATACAGACAACATTTTAAGAAGTCAGGGGTCGATTTGACATTGGCTTTATATTGTGAAAAATTACCATTAATTCAAAAATTATTTTAGAAAATCATTACTTATCGATTCAGATAAATATTTTGGTTAGAGGTGTAATGTAAGCTAATATAGGAAACGCGTTAAAAAATCTCTACCCTGTTTTTCTTGCACGGATCAATGACATTAAGCAGTATTTTCTTTGGTAATAAATGATGTTATGTCGTCTGTTTTTCTTAGGATCCTATAAATCCTGGTATGATGCCACGTCTTCTTAGGACCCTATAAATCAGGAGTCGGTAACGTTTTGCTAACTATGTGTCGACTTAGGGTTTTAAAATCATTCAGTGTGCCAACAGCATACGTATTTTTCGACAAGTCAAGGTCTGTTTTAAAATATATTTTATACCGTAATAGTATATATACTTTAATGTATATTAAAATTGAAACAGTTAAATACATTCTTTGTGTTGTACTAGTTATTGGTTGGGACATCGTGATGTCATTTGCGTCTGCGTGACATTGGTCAAAGTAATCCCGCTCAAATCTAATACACTTTTCCATCTTTCCCCGCCACGCTTCTATGCCCGGTTAGAAGGATTCTTCTTGGCTGACCCCCTCAAAAAAAATCTTTATGGCGCTCTTGATGGCCTCTACGCCTTCAAAACAGCTTCCCTTGACCAACCTCCTGAGCTAGGGGAAAAGATGTACTTCTCGACCAGGAACTGCCTGATGGTCAGGGCGTTGTGAGCAGATACGTTGTCGTTTGGGAAGACGCAACTTTCATACTTCCGCGCACTCAGAACTGAAGCAAACGTTCATATATATATATATATATATATATATATATATATATATATATATATATATTTATTCTTCATGGAACAGAGATTGGGTTTAATTCAATTTAATTCAAGTAATTATATTGAAGTTTTTGGCTCTTGTTTTGAAACATGAGAACTCTTATGTAGCGTGTTGGAACCATATTTTAAATAAATAATTATATTTATGCTCTACTTTTGTATTGAGCACTATTTTTTAAAATAATAACAAAAATACTAAAGAACTTTGGATTATTTACATAACGAGTTCTTTCCTATTTTCTATATATTTTTTGTTTTTACACACACACACACACACACACATATATATATATATATATATATATTTGTAGGTAAAAAATTTAATGATCGAAATAAAAGTATAAAATTTAATATTACAAGACATATTAAAAAAAAATATTGCAACAAGGGGGGAAGTTTGACTGGTTTCGCTCCCGCTCTTCAGGCTTCAATGGGAGATTCAAAATTAATACAGAAAAATGTACAATAAAGGAAAATGTTCCCCTATATATAAACCAAGATATCATTTTGGATTATAACACATTTGGCTTATCCCTCTTTGGTCCATAGCTCACATTGCAGATCCGTCATTTTTCAGACAGATTTTGTAACATGGCAGTGGGAGTTAGGTATGCAAGAAACTGGCATTATTCCAGCAACTTTTAAGATGGCACAAATGTACACGTTCCATTTGAGATCGGGAGTAGTGTATATATATATATATATATATATAATATATATATATATATATGTGTATGTGTGTGTGTGTGTGTGTGTGTGTGTGTGTGTGTGTGTTGTGTGTGTGTGTGTGTGCGGAGTCTGATAATGAAAAAAATGACTGGTGATATAAATTGAAATCTATAAAATTTAAGAATTTGGGAAGAAGTTCAAGAACATGAAATAAATACCATATAGTTCAAAAGCTTAAAGAAATTTTTATAAAAATGCTGTTTATTTCTGGTTACATTTTGTTTCGATTTTTTATAAATCCATTTCTTTGTTACTGCAGTTTGATATCAGATATGCGTGAAAATTTTTTGACAGATAGATAGAATCTAGATTGATAGATAGAGATTTTAAGAGATTTTGGATAAATAGATAGATTGATAACGATAGTCTAGATAATGAAATACACAGATGAATAAGAAGAGATTTTTGATAAATATAGATATTAAATAGATAATGATAATGAACATAAATGAAATTGAGATAGATATTATAGATAATATTAGATAGATATATATATAGATAGATATGATATATTATATACTGAAATAGATAATTAGTTATATATAAAGATAGATAAAGAACAGACTTTTTGGGTAAAAAAATATTACCAGCACAAAAAAATCTTATTGGCATTAAATAACACATTGAGGTTGATATACCGTAAAACAAAATTACCAAAATAAAATTAGGTATTTATTTAAATTCTCCCCACTAAAACGAATTGTGACACAATCTTTTTAAAAATTGTAAAAATCCCAATAAAAGACACCCGGGATTGGGAATATTTTTTGTATCTCCTCGTTTGTGTTTTTTTTTTTTTTAATTTTTTTTTTTCTAATATAAGCGTCTATAAATTGGTCTGTTTTAAATATCTTTTAAAAAATTATGGATTCCCACTTCCACTGCTGCCGTTCGCTGCTATGTAAGCTTCAATGTGTTCTGTGGGTGTTAAATTCTCCAAGCCGTCTTTACTCACTCTTTATCAACTGACTCATTCTTCCTGGTGGCTGAAAAAAAAAAATAAATAAAATAAAAAAAACGTCGGTGATCTGAAACAGAAAGTGTTTATTAAGAAACAAAATGGCAGTCGCCACTAACATTTCCTTTTTTTTATAAAACATGAGGGAAATTATATATGTAAGGAAATTATTTTCTGAAATCCATTTTTAAAATTCGGTAGTCCCCTCCAGAAGAATTTGAGGCGAAAGTTTAAATTAAATAAACAAAGCAGTTAGTGTGGAAAAAAGAATTAAGTTTTTGCTAAAAATAAACGGTGCTAAAAAAAAAAAAAGGCAACAAAAACATCGTCATTAAGCTACCTGAATATGTATCTATTTATTTATTGTATCTATCGATCTATTTATCCAACTCAGTCTGTTCCTTATTGTATTTATCTATCTATCTCATTCTATCTATCTATCTATCTATCTATTTTATCTATCTATCTATCTATAATATCTAAAAGTCTGTTCATATCTATCTATCTATCTTCTATCTATCTATCTATCTATCTATCTGTTATCAGTCTGTTCATTATCTATCTATCTATCTAAGTCTATCTATCTATCTATCTATCTCAGTCTGTTCATCTATCTATATCTATCTATCTATCTATCTATTCTGTTCCTATCTATATCTATTTATTCATCTATCTATCTATCTATCTATCTCAGTATATATCTATCATCTATCTATCTATCTATCTCAAAATGTTCATTATCTATCTATCTATCCATCCTATCTATCTATCAGTCTATGTCCATATCTATCTTTTTCCATCCATCTTATCTATCCATCTCAGTCTGTTCATTTATCTATCTATCCATATCTATCTCAGTCTGTTCATTATCTATCCTATCTATCTATCTATTCATCTATCTATCTATCTATCTCAGTCTGTTCATTATCTATCCATCTATCTATCTATATCATCTCCATCTGTTTATCCATCTATCTATCTATCTATTCTATCTATCTATCTATCTATCTATCTATCAATCTATCTTTATCTCTTCTATTCTATCTCCATCTATCTCAATCTGTTCATATCTATCTATCTATCTATCTATCTATCTATCTATCTATCTGTCTCAGTCTATCTATATCTATCTATCCATATCTATCTATCTATCTATCTATCTATCTATCTATCTTCTCAGTTTGTTATCTATCTATCTATCTATCTATCTATACATCTATCTCATCTATTCTATCTATCTATCTATCTATCTATCTATCTATCTCAGTCTCTTTGTTATCTATCTATCTATCTATCTATCTATCTATCTATCTATCTATCTATCTTCTCCATATCTATCTATCTATCTCTATCTATCTATCTATCCATCTATCTATTCTCATTCATCTATCTATCTATCTATCTATCTATCTATCTATCTATCTATCTATCTAT